TTTCTTTTAGAACACTGGACCACATTACAGCACCACCACTTATCAAACGACAAATGGAATTTTATCTGAAAAGCACTTTTTCAAGCAGCAGCCAAAAACATCAAAAAATATAAAGAACCTTACCAAAAGCCAAAACCACAAAGATCACAAACAAAAATTTTCCACTAATTAACCAAGTTAAAAAAAACAATATATCAATATAATTAAGACTATATCTTCTACTCCACACTTGTTTCGGAATCAAATAAAATAACAAACAAACTTAAAAAAGAATATAATTTCCAGTTACCAACAATTCCCTCATTTCAAGAAACAATAGCAATCAAAGCATGGCTAACAGAAATAGAATTAATTGTTCACAACTTAAAAAAGATTCTCCAGCAAATATGTCAATCAAAACAACTAAAAGCCATCCAACAACATATAACACAATAACAAATATATTTCAGCAATAACAAAAAACAAATAATTAAAAACCTATTAGATAATCCAATATAACATATCCACTTCGACAAAATTATTATACAAAAGCCAGATATCAAAGTTATTACAAATTCATTAGAAATTCAACAAGCAGTAACTACATATTATTAACAGTGGACAAGAAAGCAAATCATAACACCAATATCAGAGACAATATGGGATTCAATATACTCATCTATACAACACATCCATCAAAACTGATACAAGAATCTTCTCCAACCAATTACTATGCAAGAAATCCAAACAACAATCAAAACACAATCCTCAAAATTAGCACCAGAACTGTTGGAAATTCCATATATTGCATTTAAAAAATTATTCAAAGAATTAGCAAATTATCTTACAGATCTGTTCAACAGTATTCTAATATATGAAACAATATCCACAGAATGGAAACAGGGTTGCATATATTCTATTCCAAAACCAAAATCATGGGAAAATGATCTAAATGTAACCAGACCAATAACATTACTAGAGACCACAAGAAAGATTTTTACTAAAATTCTAACTGACAGACTTGCAAAAATTTTCATCACTTTTCCTATTCTATCCCCTCACAACTGGGCAGCATTGCCAGAAAACAGTATGCAAGAACCAATCCATATTCTTAGAGCAATACATAATAATACCAAACAAAACAACAGAAAAGTATAGATCCTCAGCCTGGATATGGTCAAAGCCTATGACTCTGTTAGTATATCCAGACTACAACTTACTCTCCAAAAAATCAAAATACTATTAAAAATAATCAATATTATCCTCAACATATGTGACAATAGAAGCAATTAAGTCATCACACCCTTTGGACCATCATTGTCATATTCTGTAGAAGATGGCATAGATCAAAGAAACACAATCTCACCACTACTTTGGAGGACTTTCTATGGCCCTCTAATCTCCACAATAGCAAAAGATCATGAAGGATACAAGCTAACAACAATACAATTTTTAGATCTATCCACACTACCCAAAACAATCCAATAACCAATATCAATTCTAGCATTCATAAATGATACAACACTATTTCCTAATGATTATCAAGAATTGAAAAAAATGTGCAACACCTGCTCAGATTTTTTCAATACTAATGATATTCAAATCAATATATCAAAATCAAATCTCACAGTACTAAATTACAAAACCAAGCCTACATAATTTCCAACCATAAGAATACAAAACCAACCAATAGAAGCACTACCACCAAACTAACCAGCTAGAATATTGGAAGTTTATATCGAAGGCAAAGAATCAAAAATGTATTAAACACAACTAATATACAATAAAGCAACAACCTTCTCCAATACATTTAAAAGAAAACACATAACAGATAAACAAATCAGATACCTATACAACCAAGTATTGATACCAGCTATAATATACTTGTTGTCAGATATGATATTATTAGAGCCACACTGTAACAAAATAATGGGCACTCTAAACAACACATATAAACACAAACTAAATCTTGCAGCCACAACACCAAACTCAATCCTCTTTAACCCATAGAATATGGTTTCTTTTACATATGGGACAGACAATTGCTAATCCATGCAAACAACTGGCATAGAAGAATTAACAACAATAATCTCATTGGAAAAATCACTTCAATCAGACTACAAGAACTATAAAACCAATAGTGGTTAACAAACTCAATAACCGAAGAACACTTTACAAGACACACATGATATAATTTTTCTTCTGCGACAGCATGGGTTCATAGCAGAAACATCAGTGATTCAGACAATACCCACTAGACACAACATTAGAAAAAGTAATGGGCAGCCAATGGTACCACAAATATAGAAAACAACTAGCAAAAAACAGAATAATGTTTGTATACCAATGCACCAACTATCAAGGTAGCAGACTAGTAGCATGCAAGAAATCACATTTCCAAATCAACAATCAAACAAGTGCAAACCCAAATGATATATAAATCTGCAAAATAGTATAGCCATGCTACAAACAATTCAAAACAGAAGCCATCAACAAAATATATCCAAAACAAATTACAACCTAGCAATAGAAACAAAACCCAAAGAAATCAAATAGGTTGCATACAGACAAAATGATACAGATATTATCAGCAGGAAAAGAAAATATAGTAAAGAACTAATCAAAATCCAATATTATAACAGAACAAATAATAACTCACCGCTACAAGAATGTGACGAATGTAATCTCAATGCATATACCATACTAGGAGAATATAGTTTTTCAGTGACTCCCAACAGTTTTATATATATATCAGTACACAAAAGCTGTACTAGTATCATAGACAACACAGATAGCAAACTACATCATAGAATTAGAATGTCACCAGACAGCCCCCATTCAATGATTACAAACAAATTCACAAGGCCCTAACATATTTTAATTCCAAAGATATATATGGATCAAACCCTAGCCCATATACAAACAATCAATGAATTCATTAACACATCTAGCAGCACACTACAACAGCTTGCAAACATCAGATCCATTTTCAACTATTATAAACCAATCACCATATATACAGATGGCTCATTCAACTGATACAAAAACATGGGATTTGCATAACATACACTCAACTGCCCAATGCAAATTTCAAAGGAAGAATCATATTATTCCTCTCATCGACTAGAGCAAAATTGGTAGCTATAGCAACAGCCCTAATCACAATACCAGCAGGAAGTAATATAATGATATGTAGTAATAGCCAAGCAGTACTTGCAGCAATTAACAAAGCAACCACAGATACAAAATATTTCAGAACATTACAAAACAGCAATATAATCAATATAATCATATATATTATACAATCCCAAAAGATCAAAGTCACATGGATTAAAGTTAAAGCATACAATCATGATCCTAACAATAATCGAGCAGATTGGATGGCAAAGAAAGCTTGCCAAGAATCAAAAAATTATATAGACTTCAAACCAATCAGTCACCAATATCTCAAATGAATACCTCAATGGAACAAACAAATCTTGGATAACACAATAACCAGAACAATCAAAAACATCACCAGAATAAAATATGTTATTAACTAAAGGATGTTGAATCGAAACACAAATACTTTAACACAAAACATAATCAATTAAATCATATGGCTATCAACACTCAAATTCAGATAGCCATTAAAACTTACAACAGGAAACACAGACAACCAAGACCACAACACAAGAAGCTTTTGTTTAAAACTGTGAAATTTGGAACTTCCTTCCAAAGACAAATTACATACATGACCAACTACAATATATATAGACAACACATGCCCAAGATGCAACAAAGCAATAGAAACAAACACATATATCATGATTTGCGAAAAAAATCAAACAAATATAATCAATACCATCAAACAAATAGTTAATGAGGAAATAACAAGCAGAGCAACAGAAAAAACAGGACCACAAATATATCAACAAATTTTCAAACATACACAGAACTGGACGGAAAAGATGTTAAATTGTGTAATAAGAGAAGCTTTAACTAATGGAATCATCACAATCATCAAAGCAAACACAGTTCCTACAATACAAAAGAAAACTATACAAAGTATCCTTAACAGAATTCTTCAATGTCTAGAAAAAAATTGGATATACCAAAATGAACATTTCATATAATGGGAAAAGGAAAATAACATTTCACAACAAGATAAACGAATCTGGATAACCAGCAAGAAAAAAGTAATAAAACAAAAAACAAATATATCAGGAATCAATTCAATTATAAGCCATGTAACATATAATTGAATCAACTGGGATACCTTATATAACTTTAGAATTTCTTTTAATAAGGATTGGTAGAGCCTTGGCAAATTAGTCAAAGATATATCAATAAATTTCTTTTGGCAATAAGCCACACAGTAAGGGCAACCTTTAATGAGTTTAAAGAATAGATAGAGTCCTAAATTTTGTATCTTACAAAGTTATATATACTCAAAACAATATTTAATAAACAAGGTATAAGCTACCCATTAAAAAAAAATTTCAAATCATAATAATATTTTAGTAGAATGGCATATTTCAAAAGACAAGATTTTAATATAACAAATTTTATAAAGAATCTGAAAATTAAAAAAAAATACAATAAGAAGATTTATATTATTAATATCTTTTTTAGCAAGTTTATTACTTCTTTGAAGCAAATCTTGTATAATATCAAGTAAGGTTTTGACTTTTTTACTTGAAGTGTGTGATTTGTTTAGCTGAGTTCTACTAATTCTTTTCTTCTTTTTCTATTGTTCACTTTTTTTAACCAGTTTTTATCACTTTTCTTTTGTGGTTCTAGATATCCTTTCCATATAACAAGTATTGGATTAGATAAATTAATTAGAATTTATCTGGTTTGGCAATGTTAATCACACATTTTAATTAAGAAATTTGTAATTAAGAAGTAACTTTTCTTTATTAACAGATTTTTTTACTACTATATTACTATTTTACTATTATTTTGCTATATTGCCACTATACTGCTACTATATTACTACTATACTACTATCATATTGCTATTATATTGCTACTATTTTTCTTTCTCCTTTTATATAACCATAATACATTTTTCTAAGCTATATTGTAACATGGAAAGTAGTGACATAAATATCATTAACACTAGTCACCAAGACATATTGCATACTATAATTAAAACAAGCCACAATGAAACAATAGCCTATACACATGAAAATATAAAGGCTTTGATAGA